CTAGTGGTATAATAGCCGTGGACAGAATGCTCATCATCAGCAACGCACGTCGAATCTTCCACTTACTTGCTATTTTTCCAAAGATGACCCCGCCGAGGGAGTATGCCACGCCCCAAACGGCTCGTAAGATGCCGATCTGAGTCGGAGACAAGCCAAGCTGTTGCCAGTAGACTGGTATTAAGTATAATTTAAAGCTAAAGCATGTCTCGAAGAAGAAGTAAAACGAACTTAATGCAATCCTAGTTCTGTGCTGCGAACAAAATTCCGAAATGCAATTTGACTTTTTTTCGGGTTCTTGTGAAGGAGTACTTGACATTTTTCTTTCTCTCTTTGCTAAATGTCTGAGACAAAGTAAAAACAAACAAACAAGGAAGTTAAACAATGCTTGTCAACGTTGAAATAGATGGCCATTCTTCCAACTTCTCTGGTTTGGACTTTCCACGCTGAGTCTACAAAATTCCCTCGTATGAATGAATAAATCACTTTATTTCATTAAAATGAAATAATCAGCTTGGCAGTTGTGCAATCAAAACAAAATGTAGTGCAAACGGTATATGAAAACTATGAAAACACGTACAAATGAGTGTAATTATTAATAACAGGTTAAAACCCTTAAAATATGTTCAGTTATTATCCATGAGTTTGATAATGGTTAAGGTGTGATGAAATATATTTTGCAATTGCTGAGTTTAAATAGAAGACCAGGTTGAATTAAAATTAAAAGTGTTGGTCTTCAGCTTATAAAGGTGACAGTTATAACCAGCCGTCAATATTGACCAACGTCACTATTTCTCACTTAATTAGCCTGCGAATCATGTGGAATTACGTCACAGTTTACTAAGTACGGATCCACGGTTTCTTGATTCTCTCCAAAACGACTTTCTGCATAAAATTTCATACTTTTGCGGGTAATATCGGCCGAAACAAAAACAAGATTGACAATATAAACTTTATAAAGGACCCACTGCGTAGATCAGAATAAAGACCTAAGTTCGACACGTATTTGATTTCTAGTTGAGATTCGTTAACTCCGATCAAAATTTGACTTAAAACGCAGTATGAAAAACAGTGGTCACAGTAATCCGTGTACCTTAGTGCCAACCGATTTTCAATTGAATGGGAAAATGAAACACAAATTTTATTTTCGTTTTTCGTTTTTCGTTTTTGTTTGCAGCAAAAAAAACAAATAATAATTGGACTTCCATGTTCGTTTTTCATATTTTCCCCGCCGGGAAGGAAACGGAATTCGAATTCACTTTATGCTCTCCGTTTTCTTTTTTGTAACTTGAAGAAACGGATTTTAATTTTCTTTTTCGTTTTTCGTTTTTCGTTTTCATTTTTCGTTCCATATGGAATTTGGGAAACGGATTACAAGTCGTTTTTCGTTTTCGGCCAATGGTAGTGTAACTGACAATCTTTGTTTGAGCGGGAATATTTAAGAAACTAAGATGGCGGCGCTAGAAAATGTCTTAAATAAAGACTTTGTCCAGCGGTTTCTTATCGAACAGGAAAATACTTACGAGGAGCTTGTCACTGAAATCAAGGCTCGATATCCAGATCTAAAGGGCTGTAGTTTACGAAGCGTTAAAAGGTTTTGTAATCACCAAGGAATAAGGAAAAGAATGCCAGTTTTGGATGAAGCGCTTAAGTTAAGTGCCGCTCTCGCCAAGAGCGCTCCTCTCGACTTCCCGTCGGAGAAAAGTTTTCTTTTATTTTTTGCCCATGAAAAGGGTTTAGGACACATGTTTCAAAGATAGTTTAGTTGTTCTCCAATTTTTTTTGTGTGTCGCCACAAGCCAAAAATGGCTAGACCACCCGTGTGGACAGCGATCGAAAAAAATGATTTTTGGCTTGTGGCGACCCAAAAAAGAGAATTGGAGAGCAACCAAACTATCTTTGAAATATGTGTCCTTAACCCTTTTCATGGGCAAAAAATAAAAGAAAACGTTTTTCCGACGTGAAGTCTTAAACTTAACTTAAGCGCTTCATCCAAAACTGGCATTCTTTTCTTTATTCCTTGGTGATTACAAAATATTTTAACGCTTCGTAAACTACAGCCCTTTAGATTCGGATGTCGAGCCTTAAATTCAGTGACAAGCTCCTCGTAAGTATGTTTCTGTTCGATAAGAAACCGCCAGACAAAGTCTTTATCTAAGACTAAGGTACACGAATTCACAGTTTCGATCGTCAACAGTGTTGTTGTGTTCTACACATGCATCGCGACTGTAAGTCCTTAAGAGCCTTACAATGCCAAAATCAGTCACCTCATATTCCGGACGCTAGTTTTTTAAACAAGAGATATGACTTCTCCTTGACCAACATAAGCGGAATTCTCATCTCAACCTGTCATTCTTAAAACTAATACCTTCATGAGTTGATTAAATGGGTTGTCTATAACGATAAACAGCTTAAATACAAGGGCTCCTGCTTACACTGAGAATGAAACTCACCTTGGCACCCACAGAGTTATTACTTTAGAGCGTAAGGATGAAAAACATCGCCAACTGAGTGAGTCGGGAAAAACGTCCTTATTATGCTTACAAAGCATTCATAAGCAATGAGCTCATGTGTCTGGGAGGGGGGCCAGGTGGGCGTCCCAGCACGTACCAAGCGTATTACAAAATGATATCTCTTTGTGTTGAACTGAGACAAAATTTTTCCGCGTATGGTCGTATATTTGATTTTTAGAGGTTCTTGCTGGGAAATGTAGTGCTATTAGCTGTGCGAGAGGCTTTAACAACATCTGGAAAGCAATTCTTAACCTTGGTTGACACATACCGCAGTAGAGGAAGGTCGTTGTCCCCCCTACGCGCCAGAAGGCGTACAGTGGCGTGAGTGAGAAAATTAATTCAGTCCTCAAACACGCGCTTCACCGCTTGGTCTTTCTATTGCAGCTCCATCGCTCAAGAATCATTCAATACCTGAAGCTAATTGGTCTATCAAATTAGCCATCGACACATTGGTCGGCCAACAATTTAGGTTGAAATAAAGATCTTCTCGATTATAATGATAAAACGATTAAGAAAAATTGTTCCCTGGGGGCGCTACAGGAGGTCTTCTTGTGAAATTCGTACTGGTTCGTCTTCAGTCGCTCATCGCCATCGGGCCTTTAAAATTCGAGCGTGAATCCAAGTTTTTAACTTTTTAAGCTTCAAGAACTCAAGAAACAGGTGAATTGTTGAAAATGAATGGGCGCAGTGGATAAATTTTCACACGCCTTGCAAATACTGTTTACTTGCCTTCCATATGGCTAGTTTTACATGCATTTTAAATTTTTATGTGCATGTAATCAGTCACCCCGTTTTTCGGAAGCTAGTTTTCAAAATATAGAAAAATTACTTCTCCCTAAACGTCAAAAGGGAACTCTCGTCTCAACGTATTATTCTAAAGTTGGTCATTTCTGGACTTAAATTGTATGGGTTTATCATGACGGTCGGCCGCTTAGGTACGAGGGCTCCTGCTTGCAGAACGAACGTTTCCTTGGAATTTTCAGTCACTTCGAGAGAATCTATGGATGAATTTTATTAATATGGCCTGGAGAGTCAGATAAAAACACGGTGATTATCTTTTAAAAACACTTGAAGGAAAGTGGTACGTGTCGTTCATATTAATTTTTCAGATGCCGTAGGAGTTAGAGTTGGCGTTATGTTAGCGTAAAGCTTCTACTTAACGCAGCTTTACGTCACATTAACATTATGTAAAGGCAGCTTTACGTAGTCTTCCCGCGCTTTGACGTAAAGCTAGAGTAATGAGACTTCCTTAAGAGGCGTAAAGCTAGTGTAGAGATTAAAGTAGAGATTTACGCCAGCTTTACCTATACGCGTAAATATAAAGGATAAGCGTCTTTAAGCCAAATTTACGCTTGGCATAAAGTCAACTTTGTTCTTGAGTGTAAAGCTTGAGTAATGAGACTTCCTTAAGAGGCGTAAAGCTAGTGTAGAGATTAAAGTAGAGATTTAAGCCAGCTTTACATATGCACGTAAATATAGAGGATACGCGTCTTTAAGCCAACTTTACGCTTGGCGTAAAGTCAACTTTGTTCTTGAGTGTAAGGGAGCTGTATAAACTGCTCACATATTGTGAAAACTCAAATCCCACTGGTAAAGAAACTAAACATTCAGCTTTACTTTATATGACTATATGATTATATGATAAAAGCAAAGCTGATTAACTGATTGCCCACTTTTAAAGTCTGATTAAAAAGTTGTTTGTCAATCCATCAATCAGTCAAACTACTGTGTTAACAATCTTGTTTATTTGTCATAAAAACGTGCTCTCATCCATGCATGTAAATAATTTAACTTTTGATCATTCCTTAAGGATAACATTTAAGATATTATTTGTTGTTTGTCGTACTTGAATCATTTTCCTGAAATAAAACCACAGAAAATGAAAACCTCGTTCTAATATTATCAATTTATACAATAAATGAGAGGGAAATAAGTTAAAAAATTTTGAAAACATAGTTCTTATATAATTTGAAATATGACAACTTGGAACCAATTGAAAACAATAAAATTACT